CCTCCTGAGTGTGCTCTGAGATTAAATCATGGAATCACAAAATTATTTGGGTTGGAAGGGACCTTAAAGGTCCCCTGATTCCAACCCCCTGCCATGGGCAGGGACACCTCTCAGGAGGTGATGGAACTCATTAAGCAGAAAACAAAGAATTCAACAAAGTTGGCCAAAACACATCTTCAAAATGTGTTGCAGGAGGAACAGAGGAAACTTTGGCTGGGAAAAAAGAATCAGATCTTGCAGCAGGGTCTACAGAAATTGCTGCAGGTCTGGTCACACTGAGGGAAAGCTGGAGCTGATGCCCAGACACCATAAAACCTCCAGAGGAAGGGTGGGTGTTTAGTCCATGGAGTGTCAGCTTCTCTAAAAACCTGTATTCTCCTGTTTGGGTCTTGGAAGCAACAAGACATTCCAGAAAGTTCTGTTGACAGCCCATTTCTGGTTGTACGGATCAGTTTGCTCGTGTCTGCCACGTAACTTCTGCCAGGAGGCAGAACCACAGCTGGGAGAGCCCAGATTGCTTTGGGATTCGGGAGAGGAGGAGCTGAGGCTGTGGCAGACCCTGAGGTGCCATCACTGGGATTCTGCTGGCTGCACTGCATATTCCAGTGCTCGGGATGTGCTGCTGGACACGGGATCAGCACCAGGAGCAAAGAGATCCCAAATGAGGGCACGTGCCTGGATCCAGGTTCCAAAGACTGGATCCAGGTTCCAAAGACTGGATCCAGATTCCAAAGACTGGATGAGTTGAGAACTCCAAAGAGCTTCACCCCAGGGGTGAGGGAGTGGCACTTCTGGTGGGACATCTGCCAGCTCCTGGTGCCAGGAGTTCTGTGGGGTTCTGGATCCAGCACAGCTTCATCTATTATGTGTCCAAGTCACTAAAGGAACACTTGGATATTACTGGGGATGAGAATTCCTTTCCTTTGCTCCCACTTTTCTCCTGCTGGCTGCTTGCTTGATGCTTTTCCCTTGTAGAGGAAGCAAGCACCAATTCCACAAAACTCTAGAAAACATCAACAAGTGCAAAGCTGGTTCCCTGAGTTCATAGTGTTCAGTGGAAGGAAAATATTTTACTGAACTGTCCCAATTTCCAGATTCTTCATCCTCTACTTCCTCTCAAGAGTGAGTGGGCTTAAAATGATCTAACTTTGCAAACATGATGTAAGCCAAATCTGGTGTTATTTTATCTGATCTTTACAACGTGTTTCACAGAATCATCCAGGTTGGAAGAGACTTTCAAGATCATCCAGCCCTGTCATGGCAGGGACACCTTCCACTGTCCCAGGCTGCTCCAAGCCCCAATGTCCAGGCTAGCCCTGGACATTTCCAGGGATCCAGGCACAGCCACAACCTCTCCCAAGCACTTTAGTCCTAACTCTGATTTTCAAGGCTTCTTTTCAAGAATTTTGCTCTCTGTGTTTTCCATGGACTGATAAAATATGACCAAATGAAACAAAGAGGCAGTTCAGGGCAGGGTGGAAGGCTGGAATTACTCTGTCCATGATCCCTTTTCTCCCACAGAGAGCCATGAAAAGCAGCTGAGGCTCATTAGCAAGGCAACCTAATTGGGCTGGAATTGCCAGGGATAGCAATAGTGGTGATAGCCTGAGCCTGGATGGGTTTGAGAGCACCCCTGGTGATCAATACCAGTGATTATGACATTTTTAAAATAAAATTGCTTGTCCTTGACTCTAGTGGAAGGGAGAAGTCCCTCACACATCCCACGGGCTGCAGCTGCTCTGCTCAATACCAAACACTTTGTGAAATGGCCAACAAAAGCCTTTCCTAGCCATCCCATCCCTCTGAGGGGGCAAAATCCCCCTGACTTTGATTCTCTTTGCTCTGGAGGCCTTTTAGTTAAAAGCTCTCTAATAGATTTGGGAGTATTGACAGTAATAATGAGCTTATGGGTGAAATTGTGACCTCAGGGAAGTCAATGGAGCTGGAATTCCAGCGTTTTAAATATCCACACTCTCTATGAAGTCTGTACATGTGCTCCCAACAGGTCAAATCTCTGCATTGATTCACTCCCCTTTCCAACAGTTTGCTTACCAAACATCTTTGAAGTGTGAGCTAATGAAATTAATGTTTTTTCCTCCTGCTTAAAGCAGAAAATAAAATTAACCACCTTTTCCCCCAGGAAAAAGGAGGGAGGTTGGGTCTGTCCTGCCTTTCTTGTCCATAGAGCATTTTAAACCCATTTAGATGTTTGAGTTTATGGGAAACTGTCTGAAGAACAGTCAGGATTCTCAGGGAAGGGTTTAAACATTACTTCAGATGCCATGGGCTGAAGATTTGGAAAGGATGATATGAATTAAGTTGGGAATCAACATGTTGAGGTGCCCCTTTAGTGATAAGAACAGGGAATGAGGATAATAGGAATGTGGGGACCAAGCTGTATTTGTAATTTTTAAGAAAACAAATGAAAAAGAACATCTCTCTCATGTTACATGGCAAAGCAAGGCATGCAAGGAAGGATAATGTCTTTTAGTAGATCAAATAAAGAAAAAAAGAAGGAAAAGAAACAGAGAGAGGGAGGGAGGGAGGAAGGAAGGAAGGAAAAGAAAGAAACTGGTGTCAGTTTTAGCATGGAGTGAGATCCCCTGGTTCACAGCTCTGTGAAAGAAACTATTTCCCTCTCTATTAACATCCCAGCACTTCCAGGAATTTTTACCAGGACTTTATAAACTGTTCCTGCTCCTGTCACATATTCTGCCTGGCTGGGGATTGCTGCAGTAAGAACAGCCCTGCACAGGAGTATTCCCACCACACCAAAACCTGGCAAGTGAATGAATTTATCAGTAGATGGCAAACACCCCCTGATGACCCACAGCCCTTTCCTCCCTTGGAACTGTGCTCCAGCATTCATGGCTGTCCAAAGCCCTGCCTCAGGTTGATATCCAATCACTTGGCAGCACCTCTTAGAATGGAAACACAGGAAAAGCCCAAGATTTTGACCACCTCCATTGGGCTGAAAAAAGCATCCCAGAAATCCATAAGGAACCATGAACAGTTGGTCTCCATCTTCTCTAAGAAGCTGTTGTGCACTTTGTGTCCATTCCCTACTCCTCAGGTCTCTAAGATGTTTGCAGGGTCATTGATCACAGAATTTGGGCTGCAGGGGACCTTAAAGATCATCCAGTTGCACCTCCCTGCCATGGGCAGGGACACCTTCCACTGGTGTCCAGCCCTGTCCCAGCACAGGGAGGAGCTGGTGTGATTCTATGAATATGCACACCAGGCTGCTCCAGCCCCAGTGTCCAGCCTGGTCTTGGGCACTGCCAGGGATCCAGGGGCAGCCACAGCTGCTCTGGGAATTCCGTCCCAGCCCCTGCCCACCCTGCCAGGGAACAATTCCTTCCCAAGATCCCATCCAACCCTGCCCTCCTTCAGTTTAAAGCCATTCCCTGTGTCCTATCACCACAAATAACCAAAGTCAGGTCCCAGATCACTTTTATTATTGTTGGTCTCAGCAAATTGCTTAGAAAATCCATTTATTTTTAAAAAACAGTGGTGATGTTAACATGAATCAATGCTGAAAACCCTCTGTCCCAATCCAAATCAACATGAAGCCAAAGGCAATGGTGATCAACCACAAAAAGGAAAGTTCAGAGTGGAACCAGGGTAAATGTTGAAAATCTCCCAGCTTTGGAGGTGACACAAGGTGACAATATAATTGCAAGCAGATTTTTCTTTTTGCCAAATGAAGAATTGTTGCATTATAGATCTTGGAATTATTTTTTTTTTTCAGTGTCTTGGTCCATCTGTTGAAAATGGGAGATCTATAAATTTCTGGTTTAAGAGAAATCAATTGATTCTGTTTTTTGTCATAGTTTTATATGCTAATATGTGTGCCTGGGACTTCACTATAATGTGAAATGGAGAGGGCTGGGCTTCTTTGCTAATTATTTTGATTTTTGCTTGTTTGAATGCAGGAAGGAACAATGGAGTTTTGTGAGGATTTTAGAAGGACATGTCTGGATTTGGTACTCCTGACAAGCAGTGGTCACAGTCCATGAGTGTTGGCATGAAGGGTGCCTTGTGCCCCAATGAAAGTTCCCCAAAAATCGCTGGAGGGGATGGAAATATCCTTGCCCACCCTAATGCACCTTCAGGCACAAAATACCAGCATTCATCCTAAGAAATGAGCACATTTCATTATATGGGATTTATGAAATAGGATTCTATAAACTGTTTTTCCACTCCCCATAATGCATAGATTGTGTGGAATGCTAAATCTGCTTAAAAGCTAGAAGTGAAAAATTCTGAGACTTTTTAATTCTAATTTTTAAAGTATATTTAATATCAAATGTCTGGTTCCATTCTATTCCTGACATTTGTAAAAAACCCAGTTCTGAGCCACTGAGAGGGTTAGTTTCCCTTGTGATGCATTTCAAAAAATGCGCTGAAATTTTATTTTGATCAGGTCAAAACATTGTAATATAACTTCAAATATTGGCTGTAACAGGCTGTCAAATACATCTGTCACAGTGCCACTGAAATTCATATTTTAAGGGACTGTAGAAAAACAAACAAGAAGTTAAGTGAAAGCAAAATTAATACCTTGTCATGACGAAACGTTCATGAATTATGGAAATGAAGAACCGAGCAGGCAATAAGTGCTGGAAATAACTGTGTATCCCCAAGAAATTCCAGGTTTTAGGGAAAGCTGTCTTTTTTTGGGGAAGAAACAGCGATGTGGCCAGTTCTGCTTCACAGTGCACCAACTCCAAACCAAACCATTATTTTTACCAAAATACGCCTTGAATTACCTGGAAAGCTGTGATGGGAGGTAGACAAGGATGTGCTGCCTTGGGAATATCTCAGCCTCCTTTGCCTTTATTTCCCAGGTTTTGCAGGCAGCAGTTCTGCGTCCACATCCTTTCCTCCTCCAGGAAGAAAAGGAAGGAATAGACAACGGTAAAGTTCAACATCCATTCCAAGTTCTATGGTGCCAGGCACAGAATTCCCGAGGCAGCTGTGCAAGATCCCAGGAGAACTCACACGTAGTCGCTCAGTCTGTAGCCGCTGTGGGACGCAGATGTCAGGGAAGGAGCGTGGTTGCCCTTGGAGGCACTCGGTGGCCCGAAGGATGGAGGCGCTCCGGAATGCGGCCGGAAAGGCGCCTCATTCCCGAGGCACGACGTGCACAGCAGGGCCCCACCCAGGATGGTCAAGGCCGAGGAGACAAATCCCAGATAAAGAGCCTGCCCTATCTCATACTTCATCCCAGCGGGCAGCGTGGGGTTGTAGAAATCCACGACAACATCATTGGTGCTCCACGACACCGGCACCAGGCAGAGCAGCCCGGCCGCCACGAAGCCGATCCCGCCAGAGCCAGCGATGGAGGCCTTGGCGGGGCTGCCCTCAGCGCAGTGCGTGCACCTCATGCCCACCACGGCCACGGCGGCCGCCAGCACGGCCAGCAGGCAGGAGATGACCATCATGGCCCGGGCGGCGCGGAGGTCGGCGGGCAGCGCCAGCTGGGAGCGGTGCGCCTGGCACTGGTAGACGCCGGTGCTGTGCCACACGCACTCCATCCACAGGCCCTTCACGTAGGCCACGGCCGTGATGATGTTGGTGCCCACGTGCGCCGAGCGCCACCAGTGCGGCAGGATGGTGGCAATTAACGTCCCAATTAGGCCCAGCAGGCTCAGGGAGAAGCCGAGCAGCTCCAAGGCCCAGCTCGCCATGGGAATGTTTGTCCTGCGCGGTTCTCTTAATGAGGCGCCTCCGCTCGGGTTGCCTTGGAAAGCGCGAGCTTTACTTGGAAGATATGCGGCTGTTTCGCCCCGACACCTCCTGCTCTCCTAATAAAAGGTAATTGAGGGAAAAAGGAGTTAATTATTACCCCAAAGCATTGCCTCTCCAGCCAGTGAGGTGCATTTCAAGTGCAGCGAGGGCAATAATTAGCATAGTTATCGCTGTTAATCGTGTTTTTGTGGAAGTAATGGGAAAGCAAGCTTCCCTCTTCCCTTATATAAACAGCCTTGTGCTGCCCGCTGGGAAGAGAACTCAAGACAATTTATGAAATGGAAAAAAAATATTTGAAATGCAAATATTCCTCTTCCCAGCAGGCTCTTCAAAAAAACAAACATGATTTCCTCTCTAAAGCAGAGAATTAGGTAGTGTTAACACTTGGAATGAAGGAGATTTATAAAGTAGGGAACTGCAGGTTGCTTAACATGATGAAAACATTTCCAGAAGGTCATAGCAGGACTAGGAAAACAATAAGGGTGTATTTGCTCAAAGTAGGGAGCAAAAAGAGTGATTTAAAACCTGTGGAAGAGGATAACAAATATTGGATTAAAGTTGCTTTCCTGACTGGCCAGTATTTCTTGAGGTTGCATTTCAATAAAGTAACTCAAAGGGGAATAATTTTCATTAGGATCTGGGGAGTTTCAGGTCATGATTTCAGGTTGTGGATGAACTGCAGAATCAGGCAAACATCCTGGAGCTTCTGAGGGACAACACCTTCACAGTTTGGTCGTGTATAAATCCAAGCTGGAAAACAAGGAATGGCAACTCTTCCTCCTGTATAAATCCAAACTAAGTGGGCTTTTCCAGTGGCTGCCTTGCCAGCTCTGTTATCCATCACGCATGCTGTGTGTGGGCAGAAACATGATATTTTAATATATAAAATAACCCTTGCATCACAATCCAGCCTGGAATTCAGAAACAGGAACAAGTTTAGGCTCCAGCTCTGCCAAGCCCCATGCATGTGCTGAACTCCTGCTCAGAGGAGAAAGTGGAAGTGTTTGCTGGAGCTGGCCCGAGCAGGAAAAGGGAGGAAAACCATCTGGATCAATAATCAATGACATCAGGACAGCAGAAGGAGGCAGAGGGAGCAAAGTGAAAGCTGCTCCACGTTCCCATTACCTCAGATTTGTCTCTGAGTCTGGAGTGCTTGGGGTGACATCAGTGCCAGGGTTGGTCTCTGTTGTTGTGGCATTTATTGATCTCTGCCTGACAGCAGAATCATGGAATCATGGGATGGTTTGGGTTGGAAGGGACATGAAAAATCAGCCAGTTCCATGGGCAGGGACACCTGGGTCGTCTCTTCCCAAAACAATCCGTTAGACATTGTGAAAAGAAAGGAGAAAATGGAAAAGAACAATGATTTTGTGGCCTGGGCAAGAAAACACCAGAGGCTGAGTACTCTGTGCTTCTACACATTCCTTTTATTTGGAATGTGCCATGGGATGGGCAGGAATGGGATGTTGGATTTGCTGCCTGGAAGGCAAGAGCAAACCAAAGAGCAGCTTTTCTTTAGTGTGCCTGGTTTTAGGAAAATTTTTCCTCCTGTTGCCAGTTCCTGGCCTTTCAGGTTCTCTTTATGTAACAAATAAATGAAAACACCTGAGTTTATGTGGCTGCTGAAGGAATTTACCTCATTTGCAGATTCTGAGAAAATCACAGAAGGTTTTATATCAGAAATCATCATTCCATGGGAGGTCAGGCTGCAGATTTCTCTCAGCTGTCACAGATAGGACAGGACATGAATTAGGGCCAAGCACAGCACAAAGGAGAAAATTGTTACCTCCAGCACTACTGGAGATATTTTATTTCTGTCCCAACCACGAGAAGTCCTCAGCTTTGCCTTGCAGATTATTTGGGTTTGATTCCCATATTAAGGAAAATTAAGCAGTACTTTCCCTTTTTATATTATTATTATTTGTTTTCTGTGAGGTGCATCTGGATCTAAGCATGCCACACATCTCAGGGAAATTACCCTGGGAATATTCCTCCAGCATCAGGGAGATCTCCACATGGTTTTGGGTCACAGCAGGACCAAGAGGTACCTCAAGACATCTCAAAGACATCAGCAACAAAGCTGGAAAGGGAGCTTGGGTCTCCTGTGTCCTTAATCCCAACACCACATTCCTCATCCCTGTTTTTGCCTGGTCTGGGCAAAAGACAGAATTCAAAGAATTACAAAATGACCAGGCTGAAAGAAATCTTCAAGACCATCGAGCCCAACCCAGCCCCAAGAGCTCAACCAAACCCTGGCCCCCAGTGCCACATCCAGGCTTTGTTAAACACCCCCAGGGATGGTGACTGCACCACCTCCCCGGGCAGCCATTCCAGAACTTTATCACCCTTCCTGGAAAAAACTTTTTCCTGATCTCTAGCCTGTATTTCCCTTGGTGCAGCTGCAGGCTGTGTGCTCTGGTTGTGTCAGTGCTGCCTGGAGACAGAGCCCAGCCCCAGCTGAGCACAGGCGCCTTTCAGGAGCTGTGCAGAGTGAGGAGGGCACCCCTGAGTCTCCTTTTTCACTGCCTCATGATGAGCACAACCCAAGATTATCCTCTCCAATTCCTCATCCCACCCAGGACATCCACACCTTACCCACCATCCTGAGGAGTGATCCAGCTCACTCTGGTGCATTTGCAAAGAGGCTCCCAAGGTCAGGCACGAGGCTTTGCAGCTGATCCTGGGGAGAACAGGACCTCAAAGGAAAATGTGATTTACACCACCAGTCCTGGGAAATGGACCCCCGAATTAATGCAGGTCAAACCACTCTGGGGCTCAGCAGCAGCTATTTTTAGATGTCATTAAGGTGTTATTTTTAAACATTATCCATTAAAAGCTTTCTAATTTAAGCAGCCAGCATTAATTAGCCCCGCTTGCTCGGCATCATGTTTTCCATGTGCCTCCCTCAGCAGTTCCAGCTGCCCCTGGTGCTCAGTAACACTTTCACTGCTGGGCACCAGCCTTCCCCTCCTTGCTGCCAAGTGGTGAAAGCAGCAGGAACTCAACACGTTTTATCTCCAGGAACATCAGCAGCCTGGTGGAAATGTCTCACTTTACAGCTCAGCTGAGGAACATTCCATGGGATCAGGTGAGTGGTGGCTTGGATGTTCCTTGTGGGCTGAGACAGACAAATATTAAATAAAAAATCAGCCTTTTGTTTTCTTGTGTGGGTTGTGTTTGTTGCTGTTTCTTTAGAAAGTGAGCAAATTTTGCTTTCTCACTTGGTCAGAGTCACCCTTTTCTAGCAGGGAACAGGGACAGGTTGAGAAGGAAAGGCCTCAAGCTGTGCCAGGGGGGGCTCAGGTTGGATATCAGGAAAAATTTCTGCATGGAAAGGGTGCTCAGGCCTTGGCAGGGGCTGCCCAGGGAGCTTTGCAGTGCCCATCCCTGCAGGTGTCCCCTGGAGGTGGCACTGAGTGCTCTGGGCTGGGGACAAGGTGGCCATGGGGCACAGCTGGGACTCCATGGGCTGGGAGGGCTTTTCCAGCCTCAGGAATTCTGTGTTTAGGATGAGCTGCTCAGACATTGCCTGCAATTCAGTCTGGGACAAACACGGGAACCAAAAAAAGCAAAGGAGTAAAATAAAAGATGTGAGCGGGCTGTGAATGCCCAGGCAGCTGCGGGATGAAAGTTTATGGGGCCGAGAGGGGGGCAGAAGGGAGAGGGGAAGGGTGCCCTGAGTCCCTGAGCTGGAGATGATGGGGAGCCACCCTGCTGGATCCTGCAGCTCAGCCTGGACCCAGCACATGGCCTTGCCCTTCCCCTTCCCCCTCCTCGTGTGCAGCATGGCAGCCCAGATCCTGTTTCAGGGCTTGTGCTGGTGCATTTTTCCTCCCTTAGATCTTTGCACGGGAGAGCTCCAGCCCCTCCATGTGGGACAGCAGCACCCCCGGGGCTGAGCCTGGGGAAGGAGGGTCAGGAGAGGGGCTGCGCTGCCTCCAGGAAGCCACCAGCAATCCTGGCAGTGAGAGGAGAGCTGAGGATGCAGACCCCCAGCAGGTTATACCACTGGCAACACATCAGATTTCCTTTTGGTCCTTAACAAAGCAATGGTTGAAATGTTGGACAGTGAGATGATTGGCTCTCACAATTAAGGGATGACTGCTGTGTGACTATTTAGAAAAGCTTCAGTGATGTATAGTTATGTTGCTGTAGTTTAGATGTCCTCTGATCTCCCCATAGTTCCCTTTCCCCCCTGTATTGCTGCCATCAGACAGCCTGGGTTGTCTAGGATAAGTAAAAACAAGGTGTGCACATGTGTCCCTTGCATGGGGCAGTGGGGAATGGCAAAGCTTGGTGCTTAGGGGGGGCATGGCAACACCTGATCTCCAATCCAGTTACAAGAAAGCAGTTTCCACTGATAAATGGCAAAGAGCTGACTGACAGACTCTGGGAGGGGCAGGGCTGGCTGATGCAGCCCCAGGGGTATAAAAGACTGAGCATCCATCCTGAGGGTGAACCGGCCACGTGGCATCCACAAGGGCAGTTCCAGCATTGTAACTTTTTTCTTATGTAGTCCTTTTGTTGCATTTTTGTTAAGGATTAATAAACCTTTTTAAATTTCAAAGTGAGCAGATGTTTCTCACACTGGGAAGAAGTTTCTGGAAGCACCTGCGCCACGGGATGGCACTGACCAAGATTTTGGGTCCAGTTTGGGGATCACAATCCCCTCCTGAGACCAGGCTGTGCCATGGTTGAAGGGACAAAGGCAAAGCCCGAAACTCACAAATCCTCACGAGAAAGGTGAAGTTAAATTGGGCTGGAAACCATTTTAAGCACTATTAAATAACATAAACAACATGAGAGTGGGGAGCAGGAGTGAGCCAGGTGAGACATGGATAATAAACAAGGCAGGATTGCTCTCAGTAGATATTGGCAGAACTGCACATGAACGAGGTCATTTGTTTGGGCTGGTGCAAGGAAATCCAGCTGGAAGAAG